CAATTAACTACAAAAACAAAAACAAAAAACGGCCAGTTTACTCATGAAGACCTTCCCAGACACCAAACAGAACGCCTTGAAGGAGACCAACGTCGTCTATGCCTTCACATGCCCACTTGGGGACTGTTAGCCCCAAAGAACTCAGTATATAGACAAGACAACAACGTCTCTTTCCAGGCGATTAACTGTGCACAAACAACAGGGCTCCATCAAGGAGCATATAATCTCTTCTCACAACCAGACCATCACCAGAGAAATCTTAACAAGCAACACAGAAATCATCGATAAATAAGCACTGTGGAGAAATGCCCGACAGACCACTGGAACATTATCTAACACAGTGCACAGTTACAGCCACAACAGACCACTGGAACATTATCTAACACAGTGCACAGTTACAACCACAACAGACCACTGGAACATTATCTAACACAGTGCACAGTTACAACCACCAACAAACCACTGGAACATTATCTAAACACAGTGCACAGTACAGTCACAACAGACCACTAGAACATTATCTAACACAGTGCACAGTTACAGTCACAACAGACCACTAGAACATTATCTAACACAGTGCACAGTTACATACCCTAAGATTTTCAACCTAAATTCAACAGAGCAGAAGTTGTTAAACACATGGGGACAAAATCTTACTGAAGCGACATACGAGTCATAAATACTCATACTCCGCCCAAGTAAAACAGAAACAAGCAACACTTAGTGGGCCAGCCAGAGGCTTAGGGCCCGCCCAGTGGGCCAGCCAGAGGGTTAGGGCCCGCCCAGTGGGCCAGCCAGAGGCTTAGGGCCCGCCCAGTGGGCCAGCCAGAGGCTTAGGGCCCAACCAGTGGGACAGCCAGAGGGTTAGGGCCCGCCCAGTGGGCCAGCCAGAGGCTTAGGGCCCGCCCAGTGGGCCAGCCAGAGGGTTAGGGCCCGCCCAGTGGGCCAGCCAGAGGCTTAGGGCCCGCCCAGTGGGCCAGCCAGAGGCTTAGGGCCCGCCCAGTGGGCCAGCCAGAGGCTTAGGGCCCGCGCAGGAATATCCCTGCAGAAAAGAAAAAAAATCGATAAATACAGCGACAGCAGGAGACTCAACATCAGCGAGGCACTACACATCAAAAAGTAAACACCAGCACTCAACAGCCAATTAATGAACAACTATATTCTACCCTACATCAAGACTGCGACCCAAAATGGAAGCAACAAGAGGAAGTATGGGCCAATAGGCCTTCTGTAGTTACTTCCATTCTTATGTTCTCATACCCATTGTTTCGTGTTCTGTCATAGGTTTTTCACCTCACCCAAAACTTTTGTGCCATATCACTTCACACAAAACGAGTATAAGTATGAATGAATTTTATGTGTAAACTAAGTCTTTGAAAATGTAATAAGCATTACGAAACGCGTTCAGGGGTCAGACCAGGAATAAAGAATGAATTTTGGAGAGTTACTCTATCAATTACCCTCGACAGTGAAGAAGAATGTAAGAAATATTGAGAAGATTCGTGTTAGAATTATTAATCTTCACCCTTTCGGTCATATTCAACAACAAATATTATATATAATATATATATATATAGATATTATATATATATATATTATATATTATATATATATATATATATATATTATATATATATATATATAATATATATATATATATATAAATACGGAGAACCGACGGAGAGAACTCTACAGCAGTCAAGCGTTGTATACATGTACACTTGCCCCCACGAAGGATGTAACCTTCAATGTAAGTACATAGGTATGACGTCGACCAAGCTGACGAGGCGTTTGGACATGCCATCTTCAATCTGGTGCCCCTAGGAATCACATGAGACAAGCCCATGACATTACTCTAACAAGAGAAATGTTGAACAAGAATACTTGCATAATAGACAAAACCCAAGATTCAAGAAAGATTACAAATTCTTGAGGCAATTCACATAAGAATAGAGCGACCTACCATGAACACCCAAATCACGGAAACTATTTACTCTACCCACCATGAGAGTAAGGACAAGACAAGAACATATCGATGCCAACACAGAAGACAATGTCCAACATAACAGGCCAATTACACTGGATTAATCTTTGTGTTTAGATAGGAGATGCCTCGTATGGGCCAATAAGCCTTCTGCAGCCCCTATGTTTATCCCTTATGTATCCCCCCATGTTTTTCACCTTCATTGTATTATCACCTGAACCTAATGCGGGTATAAAATCAACTAGTATTGTAAGATCTGTTCACTTGAGAATGAACCATGGAGGTTCGAAAACGTCGGTGCAAATTATAACAATAAGTGTAATACACTCTATAGTAAATCACTTCTTTTCTTCACCTTAAAAGTACGAAAATGAGTTTTGGGAAACTCCTATTCCCATTAAGCCCTGATGCTAAGAAAATAGTTAGAGGGATAGAAGCCCTAAACCAAAAAATAATCTAATACAGAATATGCGGTCATATTCAATGAAACATATTTGAAAGAACACCTGCTGCCAGTATACACCAATATATATTCTATATATATATATATATATATATATATAGTAATATATATAATCTATTTACACAGAGAGAGAGAGAGAGAGAGAGAGGAGAGAGAGAGAGGTGAGAGAGAGAGGGAAGCAAGAGATCGGGGGGGCGAGCTGAGCGACAGGAGAGAGAACGCTGAGGGGGCGAGGGAGAAGGATGGAGGGTCGAAGGGGGGTGGAGAGGAGAATTGACTGAGGAAAGGGGGGGCGAGAGAGAGATGGGATGGGGCGGTTTGAGAGAGGGGAGTGGAGGGGGAGAGAGAGCAGGAATAGAGAGGGAGAAGGGAGAGTGGAGAGAGAGGAGAGAGAGAGAGAAGAGAGGAGAGAGAGAGAGAGAGAGGGAGAGAGAAGAGAGAGAGAGAGAGAGAGAGAGAGAGAGAGAGAGAGAGAGAGAGAGAGAGAGAGAGAGAGAGAGAGAGAGAAGGGGGTACCACTTCTGGTGCAATTATAGGGACCCACAGCCTCAGAGAAGGGAACACAGAGCATTCAGAGAAAAAACTTTCATTTAACTCTGAATACGTAAGAGTGTTCGCTTCTCCTACCCCCCCCCTTTTTTATGGTGTACACTTTATTATGCAAGGTTATACAGTTACATTTCTGATTTTATACAAAAAAATAAACATTGAGAGGACACAAGAAAAAGTTCGCTTCCTAGAGGCTGTAGAGCTCCTCGAACTCCTCCGACGCCGGGCAGGAACCGAGGACGCAGCGAGCATTCCCCCTCTGGATCGCGACACTGAGGCGCTGAAAGAGAAAACTTGCCGCTCTATGATCTCTTGTAGTGTCAATGAGCTTGGAACCAAGATCGTTAAGAAACCTTCTTGCACTCTCTCCCTATGGGCCTACGGACTCAGACCCTATTGGAACGAAGTTGTACCGATGATCTAATTGCCTGTACTTGGCTGACTTGTATCTTTCTCTGTGTGTCGTCGCAGCTCATACATAATGAAATGAATAGCTTTACCATTTCATAAGAAAAACAAGATAAAAATATTAAAATTCAGGAAAACTTGGTTTATTGGGCAAATCGGGCCTTGCATAGTAGGCCAAGAACTGTGTTTTGGCTACTAGGTACAACATATATATATATATATATATATATATATATATATATATATATATATATATATATATATATATATATATATATATATATATGAATATATATATATATATGAATATATATATATACATATATATATATATATATATATATATATATATATATATATATATATTTATATATATATTCATATATATATATATATATATATATATATATATATATATATATATATATATATATATATATATATATCTATATATATATATTATTAAATATGACCGAAAAAGTAAGATTAATAATTCTAACACGAATTTTCTCGATCTTTCTTACATTTCTTTTCACTGTTAATGGTAATTCAAAGATCAATTCTCCAAAATTCATTTTTATTTCTAGTCTGACGCGACACTTGAGCGCGTTTCGTAAAACTTATTACATTTTCAAAGACTTTAGTTTACAAACACAACTGAAACTGAATAGAGCTTACACATCTTCGATTTTATATCTACATTTGGGTGAGGTGGATGAGGTGAAAACAAACTTTCAACAATGGGTATTGAATGGGTATTAAATTCAAACACAAGACAGAACACGAAACTATGGGTATTGAATGGAAGTAATTGTAGAAAGCCTATTGGTCCATATTTCTTGATGCTTCTATATTGGAGCGGAGTCTTGAAGTTGGTAGAATATAGTTGTGCATTAATTGGCTGTTGATTGCTGGTGTTGACACTCACAGGATGCGTACCCCATGCCTCTCTGGCGACAAACTCACTCACAGGATGCGTACCCATGCCTCTATGGCGAAATACTCACAGGATGAGTACCCATGCCTCTATGGCGACATACTCACTCATAGGATGAGTACCCATGCCTTTATGGCGGCATACTCACTCATAGGATGAGTACCCATGCCTCTATGGTGGCATTCTCACTCACCGGATGAGTACCCATGCCTTTATGGCGGCATACTCACTCACAGGATGAGTACCCATGCCTCTATGGCGGCATACTCACTCACAGGATGAGTACCCATGCCTCTATGGCGGCATACCCACTCACAGGATGAGTACCCAATCCTCTATGGCGGCATACCCACTCACAGACTCACAGGATGCGTACCCATGCCTCTATGGCGAAATACTCACTCACAGGATGAGTACCCATGCCTCTATGGTGACATACTCACTCACAGGATGAGTACCCATGCCTCTATGGCGACATTCTCACTCACAGGATGCGTACCCATGCCTCTATGGCGGCATACTCACTCACAGGATGCGTACCTATGCCTCTATGGCGGCATACTCACTCACAGGAGGCGTACCTATGCCTCTATGACGACATACTCACTCACAGGATGAGTAACGCACCATAACACTCCACAAACTCACACAATACTCACAGTTGACGGAGAGGTTGAGGGGTGGAGACTGACTGTCGCCCTCCACGTTGGAGGCGGAGCACACGTAAGGTCCAGCTTGGTGTCTGGTGACGCCTCGCAGTGCCAAACTGTTCCCGCTGATGACCACCCCGTCCTCGGGAGACGGCTGGATGTGGTGCTTCTATAGGGAGGGAGACGTGGAAATATATGTAATATGTGTGTTAAACATCTGTCTCAGCGACAGGAGGAGTTTGAATGAGTTTGATTTACGCGAAAGACATGGGTAAATACTGGCTGTTGATTTGGATGAGTTTGAATTTAGGAATGACCTGGGTAAATACTGGCTGGTGATTTGGATGGCGTTTGAATTTAGGAAAGACCTGGCTAAATATTGGTTTGATAACAGGGTTGTTGATTTGGATGAGGTCATATTCAGGAAAGACCTGGGTAAGTATTTGCATGGAAACCGCGTTGTTGAGTTATGGAACTAATTACCTTGTAGCATAACAGACACTGGGTCACTTGATTGTTTCAAGCGTAGGTCAGACACAAATAATGTTAGAAATAGAGTGACAGTTAACTAACAACCGGGAAGGTGGTAGTCACATCAGGAAGTTGTAGAAATTGTCCTCACACCTCAGTATGAGTGAGAAGGACGCGTCCCTCGGGGTAGTGAACACTGTCACGTGACATGACAGTGTCCCGTGTTGGCTGTCATGGGTCCCTCACCTTCCCTTACCTCTTGTCTCATACTGACACTCTCTCTTGTCTCATACTGACTCTCTCTCTTGTCTCATACTGACTCTCTCTCTTGTCTCATACTACTCTCTCTTTTGTCTCATACTGACTCTCTCTCTTGTCTCATACTAACTCTCTCTCTTGTCTCATACTGACTCTCTCTCTTGTCTCATACTGACTCTCTCTCTTGTCTCATACTGACTCTCTCTCTTGTCTCATACTGACTCTCTCTCTTGTCTCATACTGACTCTCTCTCTTGTCTCATACTGACTCTCTCTCTTGTCTCATACTACTCTCTCTTTTGTCTCATACTGACACTCTCTCTTGTCTCATACTGACTCTCTCTCTTGTCTCATACTGACTCACTCTCTTGTCTCATACTGACTCTCTCTCTTGTCTCATACTGACTCTCTCTCTTGTCTCATACTACTCTCTCTTTTGTCTCATACTGACACTCTCTCTTGTCTCATACTGACTCTCTCTCTTGTCTCATACTGACTCTCTCTCTTGTCTCATACTGACACTCTCTCTTGTCTCATACTGATTCATGCCTCATACTGACTCAGTCTTGCCTCATATTCCCTCTCTCACACTTCCTGGTGATGGTTTAATAAGAGTCAAGACGGACTAAGATGTCGGCATTAATTAACAAACAAATGAAGAACAATGTCCGCGGAATAGAAAGTTTTCCAGAATAAGATAAAAATAAATAAATAAATAAAATAAATCCAACCAAATTTTGTAATAAAATATAACATAGAAGACAAAAAAAGATAAAGTAAAAAGGTTTATATATTAAAACCTCTGAAATCACAATTCAGACTTACAATAATGACCTTAAGCTCTATTGACCTTAAGCTCTAATGACCTTAAGCTCTATTAACCTTAAGCTCTAATGACCTTAAGCTCTATTAACCTTAAGCTCTAATGACCTTAAGCTCTATTAACCTTAAGCTCTCATGACCTTAAGCTCTATTAACCTTAAGCTCTCATGACCTTAAGCTCTATTAACCTTAAGCTCTCATGACCTTAAGCTCTCATGACCTTAAGCTCTATTGACCTTAAGCTCTATTGTCCTTAAGCTCTATTGACTTAAGCTCTATTGACCTTAAGGTCTAATGACCTTAAGCTCTATTGACTTTAAGCTCTCATGACCTAAAACTCTCATGACCATAAGCTCTATTGACCTTAAGCTCTATTGACCTTATACTCTAATGACCTTAAGCTCTATACCGATTACTTTGAAAATTTGAGACAACGTTGCAAAAGATGGCTTCTTAAACCTTGCTGGAATCAACCTCACTGAGGACCAAGTCACTCTCTTAAATCTGGGTATAAACTGTCACGTTATGTCCAGACCAAGTGAGATGGCCCGGAAAGTGGAGTTGGAGATCCTATTGGACGACATATTCGACCTCGAGACGCAAAAGAAGGTCACCACTAAAGACACCTTACAAACAGTACTTATTGCAGAAGGAGGCAAGACTCGAGGTAACTACAGAAGCACCATACTGTCCCACGAGCTCAAAGCTGCAGCTAAGAGCCTTCGTGAGAATAAGGAGTCGTTAAGAGAGGTGACAAGTCGCCAATATACGTCATTCTTAAAAAAGACGAATATCTGGCGAAAATGAACCTCATACTCTCCGACCAAACTAAATTCCAAAGGGTAACGCAGGACACTACAGCCGAATTGAAAACGAAGGTAAACAGATTGATCGAAACTGTGAACGCCAAGAAATCCAGACTCCACCTGCCAAAGATTATTGGGGAATACAAACCTGGATACGCGTATGGGAATGTCAAGACCCACAAGCCTGGAAACCCACTTCGGCCAATCATCAGCCAGATACCCACACCCACATACAGACTGGCTAAGTGATTCAACTGCTTGCTGACTCCTTATGTACCTTGTGCTTTCAGCCTGAAGTTTCCAAAGGAAATTGTTGACTTACTGCGGGGAGCACGGGCCACAGGGATAAGAGCCTCGTTGGATGTAGAGTTACTGATTATCAACATACCAATGGATGAAATGATTAGGATGATAGTGGAGAGTGTATAGTGATCCAGCTTGTATTCCTCTTGACATGCCAGAAAGCATACTAAGGAGACTACTCCAAGCCAGCACTAAAGAGGCACCCTTCTTGAGTCCAGATGGGCACATGTATAAGCAAGTAGATGGAGTCGCCTTGGGTTCTCCCCTAGGTGTCCTGTTTGCGAACTTCTACATGGGCACTATCGAGCAGAGGGTCTTAGTTGACATGGACTTGAAACCCGCCATATACTGCAGGTATGTTGACGACATTTTAATGCAGGTTCCCTGATGTCAGATGTCTGCAGCAGCTGAAGGAGGCATTTGAGCAGAATTCTGTGTTGAGTTTCACTTACGAGATGGAAAATTATTGGAAGCAGCCCTTTCTAGATGTAACAGTCACGGAAAAGGAACGAAGGCTTCCACGCTGCAGTCTACACAAAGGAAACAAACATAGGAATGCGCCTCAATGGCAATAGTGACTGCCCAGACAGGTACAAGAGGAGTGTTGTCAACGCTTATGTCGACCGTGCTCTCAGTCACAGCTCAGAATGGAAGCAAGTCAATGAAGAACTCTGTAGGGTAAGGCAGGTCATAGCCAACAATGGGTTCTCTAACGGTTTCGTTGAAGACATCATAAAAGGAAAGGTGAAACGCCATGCAACCTCTGAAAAGTCAACTAACACAACACTTGTACCTCCTACTACACTGCTTTACACGAACTTCTTTTCGACGGCTCATAAAACGGAGGAAAGGGTCCTGAAAGACATTATTGGTAGGAACGTTATCTCTACAGACAAAAATCAGAAAATAAAATTGAAAATTAACTACAAAAACAAAAAAAACGGCCAACCAACTCATGAAAAATTCCCCACACAACAAACAGAACGCCTTGAAGGAAACCAACGTCGTCTATGCCTTCACATGCCCACTTGGGGTCTGTAAGGCCCAAAGAACTCAGTATATAGACAAGACAACAACATCTCTTTCCAGGCAATTAACTATGCGCAAACAACAGGGCTCCATCAAGGAACATATAATCTCTTCTCACAACCAGACCATCACCAGAGAAATCTTAACAAGCAGCACAGAAATCATCGATAAATACAGCGATAGCAGGAGACTCGACATCAGCATGGCACTACACATCAAAAAGTCAACACCAGCAATCAACAGCCCATTAATGTACACCTATATTCTACCCACTTAAAGACCTCGAACCAACATAGAAGCAGCAAGAGGAAGTAAAAGCCAATAGACCTTCTGCAGTTACTTCCATTCTTATATTTTCATACCCAATTCATACCTATTGTTTCGAGTTCTGGCATATGCTCTGTCACCTCACCCGAACTTTTTGTGCCATATCACCTCACCCAAAACGAATATAAGTATGATGTATTTTATGTGTAAACTAGTCTTTGAAAATGTAACAACCATTACGAAATGCGTTCAGGCGTCAGACCAGAAATAAAGAATGAATTTTGGAGAGTTAATTTATCAATTACCTCGACAGACAGACCTTCTTTAAGAAGAACGTAAGAAATATTGATTTGTGTTAGAATTATTAATCTTACCCATTTAGTCATATTATATATATATATATATATATATATATATATATATATATATATATATATATATATATATATATATATATATATATATATATATTATTAAATATGACCGAAAAAGTAAGATTAATAATTCTAACACGAATTTTCTCAATCTTTCGTACATTTCGCTTCACTGTTGGAGGTAAATCAAAAATCAATTCTCCAAAATTCATTTTTATTTCTAGTCTGACGCGACACGAGCGCGTTTCGTAAAACTTATTACATTTTCAAAGACTTTTAGTCACAAATACACAACTGAATAGAACTTGCGTTTCCCTGATTTTATATCTACATTTGAGTGAGGTGGGAAGGGTGATGTAGCATTACATTTGAGTGAGGTGGGAAGGATGATGTGGCATTAACACAAGACAGAACAGGGGTATTAATAGGGTATTAAAAGTATCAACACAAGACAGAACACGAAACAATGGGTATTGAATAGAAGTGTTTGTAGAAAGCCTATTGGTCCATATTTCTTGATGCTTCTATATTGGAGCGGAGTCTTGAGGTGGGTAGAATATAGTTGTGCAATAATTGGCTGTTGATTGCTGGTGTTGACTTCTTGATGTGTAGTGCCTCGCAAACGTCAAGCCGCCTGCTATCGCTGTATCTATCGATGATTTCTGTGTTGTTTACTAGGATTTCTCTGGCGATGGTTTGGTTGTGGGAAGAGATTATATGTTCCTTAATGGAGCCCTGTTGCTTATGCATCGTTAAACGCCTAGAAAGAGATGTTGTTGTCTTGCCTATATACTGGGTTTTTTGGAGCTTACAGTCCCCAAGAGGGCATTTGAAGGCATA